GCTCAGCCCTGGCTGCATCCCTGGCCGCATCCCTGGCCGCATCCCTGGCCGCCCAGCATTTGCCTGACCCGGGCTGGGCGCTGATCCCAGCTTGGCCCGTGCAGATCCAGAGCAACAACTCACAGCCTCTGGGGCAGCACGGGGGGAGCCGGGGCGAGAGCCCAGCCCCTCCTCACCCACATCCCCAAGGGCACACCGGGCCCAGCACAAACTCACCCCGCTTGCTCCAAGCAAGGCACCCAGCAGAGCGCATGGGTGCTGGCACAGCTGGGTGAGTTTGCCGCGGTCCCAAGGTGCGCCCGAAGCGCACCAGGCCGTGCAAGACTCCCAGCAAGCTGCAGGGACGGCTCCTTGCTTGTGATTTGGTCATCAAGGGTTCCCCGTCCTACCACGCTGCCACCCAGCATCCCACCACACTTGGACTCCAGTCGTGGCTTTACCATAATAATTTGGGGAGCAAACTTAGACCTTCTCCCAGGAAGGCAGTGGCTCTTTTTCGTCCTGAACAACAGGAGCGGGATGAATTTCGGGGCAAGCTGGGGGCTGACCCCCCTGCTGCCTGGCTGCAGTTTGGAGTGGGGTGTTTTGCACGGCCCTTTTGCCTCCCGAGCCCCCCACCCCCTCCCAAGAGAAGAGAGAGAAGAAGGAAGGAGTGTTTACGCACCATCGGACTTACCCCGAAATTGGAAGCGGCAAAGCGGTCGGAGGCGGAGACGTTGGTGGAAGCCGTGGTGTGGGCGTAGTAGGCGTTGATGTTGGCTAGCAGGGTGCTCATCACCGCCGGCACCCCCGGGCACATGTATTTGGAGGAAAGACAGGCAAAATGCCTGCAGAGGGAGGCGGAGGGTGAGGGCGCGGGGCCACGGGGGGGGCTGCCTGTAGGGAGGGGCGTGGAGTTTGGGGTGCACACACAGAGAAGGGGAAGGAGGGGTGCGGAGGTGCAGGGCAAGCTAGGGAAGCGCGTCTGCACCCGTGGCAGGGCAGCGGGTGCAAAGGGCAGCAGGGGAGGAAGCACCAACAGTGACCCCCCCAGGGCTGGCACAGCCCCTCTGAGCAGGGTGGAGGGCAGGGGACTCACGTCATGGCCTGGTAGATGGACTCCACCCCATAGCGCATGGCGAACTCATCCACAATCTCCTGTGCCGTCTCATCAAAGTACACCTTCCAGGCATCATCCCCCTTGGCGTCGGGGATCTTGACCACCCCGTTGTTTTGCAAATCCGTCACAAAGTGGAACAGGTTCTGGAGGGACAAATGAGCCCCGTCAGGTCCCCAGGGCCGGTGGCATCCCGGTGGCATCGTGGGTGTGGGGGCCGTGCCCCCATGCCTGCCGGGGCTGCTCACCTCATGCAGGCAGGTGTACTGGACGTGGTAGGGAGCCACCTTCTCCTCGCCTTTGATCTCCACACTGATGTGCAGCCGGATGGCCCCTGAGACAGCCGACTTGTCTGTGCGCTTGTCTGTGGGGGCACGGGGGGAGACGAGACGTGAGGCCTCTCCCCAGAGCAACGCTGCTGGCTCCTGGCCCCAAAGAGGGGCCAGCGGCTGCGGCGTGGAGGGGGTCTTGGGGCCGGGGGCCGCCCAGCCCCATGCGCAGCCAGGCCACGCACAGCGTGACTGAGGCACCGCCGAGAGGGATTTGGCCGCATCCCCAGGCACGGCAGAGATGCGGCCTCTCCGTGCCTCAGCTTTCCCTCTGCAGAGGGCCAGTGCCCCAGACCTCCCGGGCAAAGGGTTTGGAGAATGACCCTGGGAGAACACCTGACTGACCCCAGTGGCTTTCAATACCAAGCGGTTTAACAGCAGCCCCTGCACAACCGTGCCGGAACAGCCCCCACTGCCAGCCCCCAGGTGCCCCTGGGAGCGCAGGGCCGGGAGCGCAAGCCCGCGCGGGCTGTGCGGGGCAGCAGGTTACCGAGGTTGTACCAGACGTCCATCTCCCCGCTCAGGGTCCGGACCTCGATGATCGTCTGGCCCAGGAAGTCGTCGGACTCCCTCTTGAAGCGCTGCTTGACGCGGGACTTAATGTCATCATCTTCATCCCAGACACGGACCTTGATGCGGTCGGAGGAGTTATGGCACTCGCTGGGGAGGCAAGAAGGGGCAGGCCCCAGGATGAGCAAGGAAACCTTCCCCAAGAGGGACCACCCCAGCAGCAGCAGGAACTGCAGCCGAGAGCGGATCTGCGGGCACCAACCCTCCCCAGAGGGCTCAGCAGGGCTCTGCACCGTGCCCAGGCAGCCCCAGCACGGCCTGGATCAGCCCCCATCACTGGGAACCAGACCCTCCATGGCACAAAGCTGGTGCCCCCAGTGACCCCAGAAGCCCCCCTCCACCCTGGGCTGAGGCAGGATGAGGCCCCTCACCAGCCCACAGGGACCTGCTGGCAGCCCCGCACGACCCCGAGTGGCCAGGAAGGGGGCCGGAGGGGCCAGGGGTGAACTTACAAATGGAAATTCTCCTCCCAGACGGGGTTGAGATTGCCGTAGATCGTTTTAGTCCTTTTTTTCGTCTTTCCGACTTGGACAGTGACATAGGGGTCACTGGAGCCGGTCTTATCCTTTGCTTGCAGGCCCTGGGCACAAACGACTGCAGCACAGCACGGCGCAGCGCAGCACGCCCGCCCATCCACAGGCGGCACGCACACGGCACAGGCGGCAGAGAGAACAGGCAGAGAGAGGAGTCGGTGCCACAGCCACACCGAGATCCTCGCGACAGGCACCTTGCGTCCCCCGGCAGAGCCCCGGGGGCTGACGCCACCTTCAGGGGCAGGAGCGGGGTTGGAGCTGGGTGCAACCGGTGCCTACCCGTGATGCTGATCTTGGCTGACCATTTGGAGGTGCCGTCCAGGACGCTCTGCTTCACTGCCTTCATCTGCTGCGTGTGCGTGGTCTTGGTGACCCCAAACACCTCCTGGATCAGCTCAAATATCTCTGGCTTGTTGCGCTCCCGGATCTTCATGCGATCCTTGAGCACCATGATGATATTCTGGGTCCGGTCCTCCGCTCCGTGCTTGGAGCTCTTCTCCGCTGCCCCTGGAAGAGGACAGTCGTGGGTGAGACACAGAAGGCAGGCAGCATCCAGGAGAGACCCATGAGCTCCCCAAGCCCACCATGGTGAATGAACTCAAACCCACGGGGGTCTACACCCTGCCCAGGACAGATCTGCCCTGCTCACCACTTCCCCCGTGCAAAAGGCAGGAGCTCAGCCCTCCCTGGGCTGCTCCCTCCTCCCTCTCCGAAACAAGAAGGGACGAGGCTGCAGGCAAGGGCTCCTTACTCTGCAGGCAGTCGGCATTGAGCAGGTCCTGGCACTTCTCGTGGCACTTGACGCCGCACTCGGCGCAGCGCATGCCCTGGCGAGCGATGCCCCAGAGCAGCCCCTCACACTCGTAGCAGTAGGTGGGGGTGGTGGCCGTCCACACCTCAAAGTTGTGGGGCGTTGTGCAGGAGATGGGGTACACTAAGGCTTGCAGGGTCTTCTTGTAAACATGGTTTTTCTGCACAAGGACAGAAGAGAGGAGGAGGAGGAGCACTCAGGCAGCATGTGGCAGCCCATCTGCGGGTGCTGGGCCACGCACAATGTCACCGCTGGGTGTGGACAAGCAGGGCAGAGGATGACCACCGCCATCCCCAGGTGCAGCCCTGAGCATCCCGGCTGCTTTGGCATCACCAGAGGAGGATGCTGGTGTGGCACAGAGCCCGCATCTCTGTTGCCGGCCCGGCTGGCTGGGGCTCAGCCCTCCTGCTGTGACCACCCCACGTCCCAGCCAGCCCCGGCACCTACCAGCTCCTCGTTGTTCAAGGTGCTCGAGGCCAGCGCGGATGTGATTCCTGCTTTCCTGGACTGGACCAGGGACTGTGGGAAAGAAAGACAGTTCCCAGATCCAGCAGAGCCCGGGGTGTCCCCCTCCCGCGCTCCTCGGGGCTCCCAGTGGCTGTGAAAAACCCAGGACAGACCCCCCACCCCAGGCGGGGGCAGCCCAGCTCCCAGTGATGCCAGCGTCGCAAAGCACCACCCTGCTGTGCAGAGGGACTGCGACCAGTTCAGCGGCCCACAGCATTCCCAGTTCAGCCCCAGCAGGGCAGAGCCCCTTGATGTGTGTCTGGGACGCGGGGGAGAGCGGGGTGGGGGGCACTCACCATTGCCTGCAGGCAGCCAGGGCCGGCGAG